CATAACACACCTGCTTTCCCTTCCATTGAACCAGAAACTCTTTTCTCCGATTCTTCTTGCTTTGTCTCAAAGTCCTATGATCCAGAATCTTCTCAATCTGTTCCTTGGACTGTGTCCGTAAAACAGGAGGAGCATGCCTGGTAGCAGACCTTATTGGATGCTCAATATCCTCATGAAAAGGTTTCACAAAACTCACATGAAATGTCTTTCCGGCAACTTCAACCTGAGTGCAACTTCGCCAACTCTTTCTATGACTTCAAATGGTCTGTCATATTTTGAAATCAGCACACGATGAATCGTCTTGCTGCTGATTTTTTCCAGATTTGGGAATTAAGTTTTAGCAACACCTCATCTCCAACTTGAAATTCTAAAGCACGCTGATGTTGGTCAGCATACTTTTTCATCCTCCTGGTTGCCTTCCTCAAGCTATCTTGCGCTTCATCCAGCTTCTCTTGCTTGCCACGTGCATACCTATAAGAAGTAGGACATTTACCTTGGAACTTAGATTTAGCGACTTCTAGTGAGGTGTTAGGTTGCATACCCAACACTAACTCGAACAGGCTCTTTTCTGTTGCTGACGATCTATGCAAGTTATAACAAACCTGTGCACTGTCCAGCAATTCCACCCAATTCGTTTGACTTGTTGTCACATAGTGTCTGAGGTATTGTTCAAGCAGATGATTGATTCTTTCATTTTGTCCGTCAGCTTATGGATGAATTGTCGTTGAGAACTTCAAATCAGTGTTTATCATGTTAAAGAGGTCAGTTCAAAATCGGCCAGTGACCCCTTACCCTCCTCTTTCGGAAATCCACTAATGAAGTCCATTGAAACAGAAGCCCACGGACGCTCCGCTATAGGAAAAGGTTGCAGTAACCCCGCTTTCTTTTTTCTTTCCGTCATGTCCAGTTGACATACTAAACAGGACTTTACATAGGCTTCAATGTCATCTTTCACTTTTCAGCTAGAAATAATTTCAGGACAGTAGTGCCATCATCCTTTCAACACCTGGATGCCCAGCATAAACAGTATTATGTGTTTCTTTCAGAAGTTTTCATCGCAGCCCATCACCTTGAGGAACCACGGTTCTTCCCCATCTAAAATAAAGCAGATCGTCCTCGATCCAATACCGTCTAAATGTACCTTCTTTCACTTGATACATTAACTTAACATATAATGAATCAAAGTCAACACTAAACTGAATCTTATCAAGAAAATCATATTCTAGTAATGGCATAAACTGTAGCAAATACATGTTTGCAGCGCATTGCATCAACAACTTGATTTTTTTTTCCTAGCTTATATATCCACACGAAGTCTTATTCAGCTAATATCTCCTGCCATCTTTCCTGCTTCAAACTCAATTTCTGTTGAGTTTTGAAGTATGTATTAGCCACATTGTTCGTCTTGATAACGAACTTCGTCCCATGAAGATACACCCTTCATATTTGAAGGCAGTGGAGTACTGCCACCATTTCCTTTTCGTGTGCAAAATATCTTTTCTCCACAGGATTAAACTTTATGCTTTCAAATGCAACAGGATGTCTGTTCTGCACCAACACACCACTAACAGCATAATCTAAAGCATCGGTGTACCTCAAAAGGAATATCAAAGTCAGGCAGTTGCAGTATTCGATTAGAAGCAATGGCCTTCTTTAGTGAATTGAAAGCCTTTTCTCTTACTTCCGACCAACACCATTTCACCTTATTTTTCAGCAAATCTATCAATGGGAAGCCTTCTTGGAATAACCTGCTATGAACTTCCGATAATAATTTGCAAGTCCTAAGAACGACCTTAGTTCCTTTACCCCACTAGGTTCCTGTCATTCAACAATTGCCTGCACTTTCTTAGGGTTCATGCGCACTTGGTATTTGCTTACCAAATGGCCTAGGAATTTTACCGCACGACTAGCAGACTCATATTTTTCATGTTGACACAGAGTTGATATTATCTAAGTCGTTGCAGAACCTTTCTCAAAGGCAGCAAATGTTCGTCTAGAGTCCTACTATATATGACTGTCATCTAAGTAGACTACTACAAACTCATCAAGGTACTCGTAAAGAACATTGTTCATTAAATTGTAGAAGGTAGTTGGGGCATTAGTCAGCCCAAACGGCATTACAAGGAACTCGTAACTACCGTATCTAGTTACACAAGTGGTCTTTGGGGATTCCCCACGGCTATGCGCACTTGCCAATAGCCAGACCTCAAGTCTAACTTAGAAAAGAAACTAGTCTTAGATAGCTTATCTAGCAAGTCTTGGATCAGCGGCACCGAGTACTTATTCTTCACAGTAAAATTGTTCAATGCCCTATAATCCACACACATTCAGAGGCTTCCATCTTGCTTCTTCCGAAACAGAATAGGTGAACCAAAGGGAGCCTTATAAGGTTGAATCACCCCCGCATTCAGAAACTCATACAGTTGCTTCTGAAGTTCAGCTAATTACAGTGGTGACATGCGATAAGGAGGGCGTGTCGGTGGCACTGATCTAGGAATTAGTTCAATCCTGTGATAAATTTCCCTTCTTGGAGGCAACTCTCTTGGTAGTTCAGGTGGCATTACATCCTTGTATTCCATCAGTAATTTAGCAACATCATCCGGAACTTCTACAAGTACATCCAGCTTTACTTTAATTAAGGCAGCAAGGTAAGCGCACTCAAAAGTAGTGGATGATAGAAATGCAGCAAGTACAGCGGTCTTCTTACTTCCCTCAGCAAATGTCTGGATTCCCTTGACGAACCCCAGGTCTTTCTCTCCCATAAACATCAAACCATCCAAATGTGGAATTGGAGCAGCCTTGAATTTCCTCATGAAGTAAATTCCTAGAAACAAGTTGAAATCATCAAGTGGTACCACACACAAAATGTGCACCCCAGACTAATGTTTGATCGTCAAAGGCACGTCTAATGTTATGACATATCCTGGTTGTGCAGCAGAAATGACAGCCTTCATCTTTGTTGCACAATTAGTTACTTTCAGTCCATATTTCTTGACAATCCTTTGAAGCCACGAACGTGTGAGTAGACCCTGTATCAGCCATAGTGACTACAGTTTTCTCGCCAATATTCATTCCAACGTAGATTATACTGTCGTAGGCAATAGAAAGATCACCTACCGTGTCAGCAACATTTACATAGGTAAATTTTCCAGCGACATCCTCATCTACATCCATCACACTAACACTAGACAATGTGTTCAATAGTCGTAATGTATTAACATATGCAGCAATTTCCTATCCCTACCCCTTATTTTGTTTATCCTCCTCAACCAGAAGAGCATTTACTTTTTCTTGGTTAGGGCAGTTCCTTGCCTGATGGCCTTGTTTCTTTCAAGTCCAGCAAATGTTGTCACTAGTCTCCTTGCCACAGTTAGTCGATGAAGCATCCATCTTTCCCTTGCCTTTATCATTTCCTTTCGACCTGCGATTATCTTTCTTTCAGTCCTAACCCTTCTCTTTTTGCTTCATCTTTGACGAAGGAGTCAGGTCAGTAGTGGCACTAGTTGATTGAATATCAATCAAAGCATCGGTGGCAACAATTACTCTGGGCAGATCTTGGGCCTTCTGCCTGCATAATTCATTTTGTGTCCACCCCTGCATTCTAGAAATAAAATTATGCAACTTATCTTCGTCAAACATATTTTGAATATCCAATAGCACCGACGTGAATTCCTTTACATATTTCTGAATGGGTCCCACTTGCTTCAAACGCTTCAACTTATCCCTAGCAATCCAAGAAGAGTTACTATGCAGGAATTTTTCTCAAAATGCATCCCTCAACTTCTCCCACGTATCAACTTTGCGTCGGTTTGCACTTTCATCATTGCATTCTTTGTCCGCCACCACAAAATTGCATCCTACGAAAGTAACGGACGGCAATGGTCAACTTATCTGCCTTAGGAACATGGGCAGTAGCAAAACAATGCTCCAAGTCCCACATAAAGTTTTCAAACTCCTTGGCCCCACGAACACTATCAAATGACATTGGCTCAAGGACTTTAACTTTAGAGTCCTCCCCACAAACGGGATTAGAACTAGAGAGAACTAAATGCAATAAAGACAATTCGATTTGATGATCTTCATTGTTCTTCATCAAACCATCGATTTGCAGCGTTGCTGCTTCATGGAAGTTGGCATTCTCTACCAATTATTCCTCAATATTTGCACTATTTAGGCCCAACTCGCCATGGAAAGTTTCAAATTTTTGTTTGATGCCCAAAATCTGCATGAGTAGATCCACTAGATTTGGGTCATTCAGTCACTCATTTGTCATCCCAACAAAGGCCTCAAGCCTGTGTGAATGATCTCATAGTTCTAAGTTTCTCACCATTTGGTAACCTTGATCTGATACCAGCTGTTAGGGGGACAACTTAAGTCGATCTAACCCATTAAGGCAGTCTAAACACTTAAACTCAGCACACCTAACTGACATTCTAGATTAACTCTACAAAAGCATACGAAACACTACAAGGAAATAGACCTTTAACGAGAGGAAATTTGGTCGTTAGAAGTTCAAATGCGGTCGCTATAAGTCAATAGCGACCGACAAAAAATTGGTCGTCACCGGTCGTTAACTTTTAACGACCGGATTCACAATTCGGTCGTTAAAGATCCTTTTAGAGACGGATAAATTTCAGTCGTTATAGATCATTTTCAACGACAAAATTTTCCCTTCGCTAATTTGTTATCCCGTCGTTAAAAGTATTTACATACACCAACTAATTTCATTTTTAAAACAGTTTTTAACAACCAAAATTCCCTTAGTTAATTGTATGTTATTGTTAACGATCAAATTTTCTTTTACTAATGCCCATTTAACTATTTTTGAAACCTGTCATTAAAGAGTTTTAACAATCACATTTTTCTTTGCTAAAGTAAAATTTCAATTAATATATAATAACGGAAGTAACACATCCAAAAATAAATCAAATAATTGGTATTCATATAAAAATTTATTTCATTATTACTACAATGAACTAAAACATCAGATTACCAGAAGATACTCAAGTCCAAATTGTATAACCTCATTTTTATGAATTCCTAGAAAAATAAAAAAAATTAAACTATATATATATATATAGCATATGTACATAATACCCTTGTACTTCAATTTGCTTTGCACTTTCCTCATGGATAGGTTCTTCAAACTTCATAGTTTTGATCTGTTTAAAAGAAAAGTTTATATTAGTTCAGAACAATCAAGTACTCTTGAATTCATGTGCATTTATTATATACTTGATATGAAGAAAGTATTAACATTTTATGCCTTTTAAACATGTATTAAGAAGAAAACATGACAAATATTATAAAGCAATCAAACAACACACATTAATCGGCTTGACAGTACATGCCTAATAACACTGTTTTTACACTTCTTAACACTGACTTTACAAATAAATTGAAAGCAATAATAACTGACTAAATGACTACTTTAAAAATTATTATAAGAGAGGTTGAGATAATGGAAATGAGGAAAGGATAAACAAGAAGGAGACCCTAAATTTGTTAAATTCAGTTGTATGCTTCTATCAAGTGAGATGCCCGCCAAGAGGAAAAGAACAATAGAAATATATTTAGGAAGAGATTACCTTTCCTAACATAGAAATCCAAGGCTCTATTAGAAATCATATTGGCAGGTGTTGATTGTTGTACAGATAAGTTCAAGTCAATATAATTTGTAAAAGAGAATCAACTGGAGGTCAATTGAACAAATCAAATGTAGAATAAGATTTTGAATGCAATTAGTTCAATGAAATTGCATAGAAGAATTTATTTTATTATCTTATAGTAGGCCGTGCTAATAACATGACAACTACTAGCCAATAACAAACTTAGGAGGTCATTTTAAGCACTACAAAGAACTAACATGTAACCAACTGAATACTGACCTATGATACAATTCACTTCATTTAGTAGAAGTCGTTAAAAAGGGAGTTGAATTGATTTCAGATATCAGGTTGAGAGGACAACAAGAAAGCAAATACAAAATCAATAGTTCCTCCTATTCTTCACAATTGAGGAGTTCTGGAGGGTTACTATGGTAAAAGCTTATACAAATAAATATACATGAAACATTGTTAGTTCTAGGAGTTTATCCATTGTGATCAAAGAACTTAATTAAATAAACAGTAAGCAATAAGCATTAGTGTAAGGAAAAATAGTAATCACCTCATGGTTTAGCAGATTCCAGATGAGGTCAAAACCAGCAGTTAAAATCATCTTACCAACACACAACTAATAAGTTATCGACTTCTTTTGAAGGCATATTGAAATATTCCACCATGGTAACTGGTGGATCTGTTAGAAGATGCGACACTATTGGTTTTAAGAGAACCTAACGAAACATGAAGAGTTAGTCGACTAAGGAAAATAAAACAAATAATTGGAAAATTTATGTCAGTTTCAGTTGTACAGTTGGACAACTACAATAACCTAGATTTTGCTCATACGACTTTATTGAGTATAACAATTTTTCACTTTATATAACAAAATACATGTTCAATTAATTGTATGCAGAGAAACTTGTATTAAGAAAAATCATAAACATTCACTTTGTTGCACAAATAATGCTAAAACATACGTATCCTATCTTTCATCAGTAGGTCAAGCATATGTTAATTGATGTACTAAATCTACAAGTGATGAAGCTTATGTAGAGATTTGAATCTAAGGAGTATGTTCACGAGACATTGGTGTGGATGCACTTCTACTGGTACCTAATAATTGATGGAATTGAATTACTTAGAACTTACCTTAACCTTCCTTCTGAAATTGTCGCTGCTACCCTGAAAAAATTTGTAACTGATAGATTTGGTAGTATACTGTTTATATCAACAAAAAAAAAACACATACTGTACCATGTGAAAATACCTAATTATTTCTTAAAGACATAATATAGACTAAAAATATATATCTATTCATATTTTTGGGACATCAATATGGAAAACTATGTCATATTTGACAAGTGCGAGAAAATATCAATTTAATAGGTCAATAACGCACACACAAGGTTCAAATCAACACCTTTTTAATTGTATTCAACTTATCTTTGGGTAACACAACAAGAATTATCAAACTCGCCAAATCCAGGTGCGAACAACAAAAAATTCATCTTTTTAAGTAATGTAGTAGATTCAAAAGTATGCTATTGCCATGTTGGGTTCACCATTTTATCCAAAGTTATTGTTGATCTCAGGAGCACCAGTTGCAAAAGATTAAGTTAAAATAACATATGGACAAACCTGAGTTTGTTTTGCAGCTCCTCGCCATGCAGTTTTAATCATTTTTATTTCATTTTTTAGCTTCTCCAGTTCAATAACAGAATATTCCTCGTCAGGTAGCCTTAACATATCTACTAATCGACTCATTTTTCATGCACAACTGAATCAGATACCTTTTTCGGACCTTCATCTATGTGTTGGTCACCAAGAAAGCTTCTGTTAGTAGGATACAACCTTTAGGTTAATATGAAGTATTTGATGATTATGAAGCAACCAACTCAAATGATTCTTCCTCAATATTCATTTCGAGTATTTCTGAAAATATTTGCTAGGCATTCTCTTTAATGACCTTCAATGCTTCTACCATTTTATAATGTTAAAATAAATAACAGAATTAGAGATTGAACTTCAAGTAAATAGTACTTCAGACTACATAACAGAGATACTACCTCTGATCCCAAGATTCTAGGTCTCTTTGTTGGCCAAAAGATGAAGACATAACAATTAAAAAGTGCATGAGAAATGGAAGGATCCTCGAAAACCATGGAACAATTCACTAGAGGAACTAAACATTATTGCTACTGATATTCCATTTAGTAAGAAGCCCTGATAACACAGATCCAAGAAACTCAAAACAGAGAAGTCATGTTCCATTAGCAATTATGTTTCCACAAGCAACTACATATCACATTTCAACAGTTGTATCTCCATGTTCTACCCGTGATCTTACAATTCTTTCAACTCAAAAATCAACAAATACACTAAGATATTCTGCCCATCTCAGACCAATTTATCAAATTCTAATATTTGGATGACAATGACAATATGTATAACTAAACAAACTCTATGATAATACAATATTCTTAAAACAAAAGTTTTATATCTCTAAAGGAAAATAATATTAAATCTTAGTTTATTAATTTTAGATTAACTTAGTTCATTTTCACATCACAACTGATGAATAGCATATCCAAAAGAATGTAAAAATAAAAGATAGAAAAGAAGAGAAACACGAGACATAACAAAGAAAAGAAAAATGAGATTCAGGTTAAGCATGTGTAAACATTCATATAAAATGGAAAAGTTTAGGTCTATAAACTGAATTTTTTTAAATAGGGATTGTTAAAGAATGACAAAAGTCCCACATCGGTGGTTAATGAGAGAGGTGGACTTCTTATAAGGCTTGGGCAATCCTCCTCCCTTTGAGCTAGCTTTTGGGGTGTGAGTTAGGCCCAAGACCTAATTTAACATGGTATCAGAGCCAGGGCCCGTCTCACCCGATGTTGGGACCCCCAAAATCAAAATTGTCCACGCACCAGATGCTAAGCACTGGGCGTGAGGTGGGGTGTTAAAGAATGACAAAAGTCTCACATCGGTGGTTAATGAGAGAGGTGGACTTCTTATAAGGCTTGGGCAATCCTCCTCCCTTTGAGCTAGCTTTTGGGGTGTGAGTTAGGCCCAAGACCTAATTTAACAGGGATGTATTTGATTCAATGTCCAGAGAAAATTTTATATCGATACTACTGTAAAAAGGAATTAAGGAGAGCAGATGAAGAAACTCACCTTGACAAAAAGATGAGCAAATCCTAAATTAAGACCAATTTAACATAGAGACGTAGAGAAGGAAAAATTGCAGTGAAGCGAGTGGTATCCCAAATCATCACTAGAGAGCGCAGAGGATTGAGTCGTCCCACCCCAAATCATCAGTAGAAAATACAACCAACCATGCACATTCACGGAACATAAATGAAAAAGGAGGAGAGAGCGAGACTAATAAAATGATTATGTTGCTCTCTCCATCATAAGAACACTGAAATGCAAATTGAGTGACTTTGTTCCATCTATTTCCTTCCTCAATGGAATTCGATAACTATTTCTAAATACTACAAGCCAAACTAATTAGCTTATTAGACAAAACATTGTGCTACTTTTTGGTCTATCCATTATTCCCTCTATTTGAATCAGTCTGTAATAATCAAATGAGAAAGTGAAAAAGGGGGGGAAATTCTCCTCTTGAAACTTTCACATCAACAGAAATCATTTCCTATTCCAACATACCATGCTATTAATTGTATGAAACAAGACACTAAAAACAGTTCAAAAGAAGAAAAAAGGGGAAGCAGTAATTGTAGAATTCTACCCAAAGTGTTATATCTCGATATCATATTTGACGTGAACAGGCAAGCAAACGTGACAAATTTCTTCTAGATGCAAAGAGAATTACATCAATCAACATTTATACGGACATTATGTATGTGTTACTTAACCTTCAGAAAAATTCAAAAATAGTAGTGTTAATATCTTATGCATACCCTAACCATTTTAATTTGAAACTTTATTTCTTCCTTTGGAAAAAGAACACAAAAATTCCCCGAAATTTTTCCATAATCATCTATTTTTTAAACGAAAAGTGTCAATATACAAATCTAAGGATAATACAGAAGAACAAGCAGAGATATAACAAATATTAACCTAAAAGTAAAAGATGATGTTGATGAAGATCTAGGTGACAAACTCACAGTTGCGATTTTGGGGTTTCTACTTTCTTAGTTTACATCGTCTCCCGAACGATTCTCACAATTTCCCACTTTACATTGCTGCAACACATCCTATGACAAATTCTCTCAGATAAAGAGATACATAATTTTGCGGAAATTGATTTTTAGAGAGGTGTAGAGAATGATAGTTTTTTTGTGTTTTAAGTTTTCTGAATTTTTGGGAATGTGGTGAGAGAGGTGGAGGGACATTGTTACATCATGGGGCAAAAAGGTTGACGCTCTTTTTTGCGTAATTGTATTAACCACCGAATATTATAATTTTTAATGAAAGGATTGTTAGTGTTGAATTAAAAGTTGATTTTTAACGATGGAAAAAAATATTCGTCACTATAGGTCCCTTTGTTAAGAACTAGTCGTTATAAGTCAAATTTCTTGTAGTGAAAGTAGAACACACAATCACGTCATAGGAACAAGTCCCAACTTTGTATTAAACTCACGCCACAATGAAGCACACAAATAGTTTAACTTTACAAAATTCGACCAAAAGACATTCTGCCTAAGACTGGTCTGCCTATGCCTTTAAATAGTTTACAACCCAGTCACATGCCAGACACATGGCCACAAATTTAGTTGAAAAGCCCAACAGATAAGCCAAATTCGAAATTCAAACTACAAGTCTTATCTACAATGCTGACAAGTCTCCAACGGCTAGAAACTGGCAAATTATCCTAACTGCCCACGCATGTGAGAGGCACACGTGAGCAGCCTTCAGCTTTGGCGCCAAAATCACCCTTCAGCTGCCCAATCTCACGCCTTCTCACGTGCCAGCCATATGCATTGTTCCTACCTCGCCCAACTTGCCATTGGGGTGTAATCTTCTCAACCGTTGCTCTTGTCCAGCACTTAGCCTTCAACTTGTTTAGCCACGACCTTGTCATGATCACAGCCTTTCCTTTCCTTGCCTAAGCCTGCCCAGCCCTTGTCATACCTTAGCCATATCTTGCCTCACATGCCTTAGCTTTTCTAGCCCTTGTCATGCCTTAGTCATGCCTTGCCTTGCATGCCTTAGTCACGCCACTGCCAAGGGCTTCTTTTATTTGAATTTAACCTTTACTGAAGTCATTGGGCCTTGGCTAGGTTCATTTTGAAAATCCCTAGCCAAGCCCGAACCGCTCGAACCATCACACTGAGGTTCTAACATCTTTCCTTTCTTTTTTTTTCCTTGTTTTTGGTTGCACATGAATTCTTGGTTCTAACTTAATCAACATATATATATGCTATGGTTGTTTTAAATCTATTTCTACTGTTTCAGCAGTTTATTTACACATGCTTTAGGAATTTTAACATCCCAATAATGCAAGGAAATTTGGAAAAAATAGGGCAAGGGATCTGTTCCGTCTTTCCCGTTATAGCGGTCGACACGTCGCTACTGCAGCTGACACTATAGCTGGAAAATTCCCGCCATTGAGGAAGCACTGTAGCAGGTCAGTTCCCCTATGACATCCCTGATGAGTTCAGCCCAGATATTTGAAATTTTCTATAATGTTCATTCCCCAATGCCCATTATAAACACTAGTCCTGGAATCACAACACGGTCTCGAAATAACCTCACAATTATTCCCAACCATGTACAATACAAACTTTGCATCATATAAAACATCAGCCACATAAGCAACTCATCATAAGCTATTTCAAAGAATCACAACTCAACTTAATCATAGAACAAAATTATTTTTCAGTTATTTTCCTAACATCAATATGGTTTGGGCTACAATTTCACAGTCATACAAGCAAATATACTTCACACATTTGCATTTATTTGGGGAAATCCAGAGACCTAATGACAATCATCAAATTGTATCACTAAATCAAATCAGGTTCATTATATTCTACTCGCAACATGAATGACCACTAAATGACAATTCATGCACTTACATGACCCTTAAAGGCATATACCAATTGGAACCTTCCCGTTTCCAATCTTTCCTTACTTATATTCCTTCAATCGTGACAACGACATCTAGTTTACTTTTTTGAGATTTCAATTGGGATCTGAAGTTATCAATTGGACTCAACCCATACCACAAGCAACACACAACACGAGAGGAGTGAAGAAGTTAGAGGACTTCTTATGATTCGGCATAGCCCTTTAAGGATTAAATATGGACATCAACACACCAATCGTTAGGACTCTATTCGACACTTTCTCTTATACTAGTAGACCGTTAACATGGGCTTTGATTGTCACGAGCCAAACCATCGGGCCGTACAGGTACCTACTCGAATACCTAGATAGGAGAACCCTTACCCCCAAACTGGAGCATGAATTGTGGAAGTGAACAAAATATAAGCTAAACCCCCTATAAAATACAGAAATTCTCCCAAATGTATTAAAATAAGTACTTTTTAGAAATAAGTCAATCCCTCCTAAAGAACTAGTCTAAATAGGTACAAGATCGTCTAAGAGAATACACAGTTCAAAATTAAGTCGAAACAGCTCCCATATGAAGGAAGAGAGGTAGAAGTTGTCGGGTATAATCATTGTCTTCACCTAAGAAACATCAGTGATCCAACAACTAGACTATGCCAAATGGCATAGCAAGAGTAGTATCATTACAACCACATGTACTAGTAGGAATCATCCATCAACCTAAATCTACCTCATAATATCAAGCAAACAATTAAAGAAAATGAAACTTGGAGAGATAATTAAGAATATGATCCTTCAACCACCACCCTTACTACCACGTAATACCACCCATTAACTCATATGTTCTATATCATGTCATTCCACCTCCTTACGCTACCAACTCCACCATTTAGACCATTCCGCCCTCATATCAGATCGTATCCTAACCCTTCTATTACATAGAGACTTTCCGAACAGCTCATTCTACAACCACAAGAATTCCTCTACTATTTTCATTCCTTAATCCAAGTCCCCTATTAACTCTGTTAACCGGCCTACTACTCTCCCTCAAGCTCTCACGCAAACACCCTAGCCCTAGACTAGTTTAGTATACCACTTGTAAGACTTTTACTAAACATCCTTGACTCAAATTCCCCTATCAAATATGTCCCAGACCACCTAGACTGACAAAACAATGCAAATTAGTGAATAAGAAAAACTACAAGTCAACATCCTAACTTAACAACAGCCCGAGACATTTCCAAAACATAACAATCACGTACACCTGATTCATCACACCTTTCAAGTAACCCAAACCACCAAGGATTCCTAAGACATTATCTATCATTTTAAACATATAGTCCTGGTCTACACGAGAACAATCACGGCATCTAAACACAAATTCCAGCCACTCATGCACTAACATGTAACAATCATGTCACGAAGAAGTAAACCCGGTTCTCTCATGAAACCCGCACAAAAATAGTCAATGTACCAGGTGTGGTACTTGAGCCAACCATTAGTAATTTGTACCAGGGTGGTACCTGAGAGGGAAATTTGATGGTTCATACCTGGAATTTGTTGATGATTAATTCGCTATGAAGCTCTTTCCTAACAGATGTACTAACTTTTTTGGCTCGATCTATTGAAAAGAGAAAATAGTGAATTGGTCATCTTGTTATTACTAAGGATATAGATATGGAAGACTCAGAGATGATTTATTACCAGCATCGTGTCGAAGAAGTTACTGATGGAATCGATTAAACGACATCAGTGGGGGATTTTTATGTATAGAGTTAAACCGACACAACACATGTCGGATCTTGTTCATTGAATAATTGCTTCATGGTAAAAGCTCTAGTTCTGTGTAGAGATTGACTTGCTCGTGATGATTTGATGGAGTCGATGGACGATTCAACTTCGGGGCGCAGCTTTCCTCTTCTGGATTTGCCAAAGTTTTCTAGAGGGTTCTTTGTCATTTTGTTTCCTTTTTATTCGTTTTGTTCCCTAACCTAGGTGGATATGGGCTTATTCGAATTGGGCTTTGTGGACTATTTTTTGTTCATTTAGAATAGAAGGTGGCCTTTGCAAAAATAAAAAGAATAAATTAGAAGAAAACAAAGTTCAACCAAAACAAAGTAAATCAAATATTTTACTTTTAGCATAAGAGATAAATAAAAAGAAATGTATAGCATTTAATTAATTATAATTATTTAATATAAATTATCATTTATTTAAATTACTTAATTATATTAAATTTAAATAATTTGATAAAAACTCGGATATTCAAAAGGAAAATATAGTGAAAAATTATATGGAAGAAATTAGAGTTGGCATCATCATTAGACTAAAGGAAGGGGAGACTTGAACATAGATTTTATGTACTTGTCAATTTAAAAAATTCAGTGGGCTTCACCAATTCAATGACATTTTAATATAGGGCAGGATATGATCTGTAATTTGGTGGAAAAGGATGGACTTCTATGGAATTGTTAATAAAGTCTAAACAATAAAGTAGAAAAGATTACATTTATGAGCAAACTGATCTTGTAAAATGTTTCAAAGACTATAATACCCTTGAAAAGTTTATTTAATATCCAAAAACTAACCTGTTGAAATCATTGTTTTTAATATACAAAAAAATAAATGTATCAATTTATTCTCTATGTTTTAACATTTAACACGAATTTATATATTATTTGATATCAAATGAGCTTGAACATGCAGGTCACTAAAAGAGAATATTTTTTTATTGAGGAACTTTCACATATAGCAAACACAAAAATCATATTTGTATGTTATAGCTATAGTTTGCATAATTGCGCTCCATAGCAAACTTTATGTTTGCTAAGGCTATTTCGCTATACATATATACAAAAGAAGCTGGTTATTTCGCTATTTATATATACAAAAGAAGCAATTGTATAATCTGTTTCGGTATACATATACAAAAGAATCAATTGTATAATATGTGTTTGTATAAAGGGAGAAACTGAGAAAGACAAAAGAAAATTGGGCAGGAAAAGATCGTATTTGTATAATCACAAGTGTATAGGACGAAAATATATGCATTTGTATTTGTATATACAATTTTCTCTCGCTTTATACAAACACAAACGCAATGTATACATTTGTGTTTGTATAAAGTGAGAAAGGCGAGTGAGAGTGGCGAGCGAGATCTGGGAGAGGGGAGAGGAGGAGAACGAAAATATATGTATATATACAATTTTCTCTCTCTTTTATACAAACACAAACGCATTTTATACATTTGTGTTTGTATAAAAGCGAGAGAGGCGAGCGAGACTGCCATCCAGAACGATAGTGGCGAGCGAGATTCCACCAGGGAGAGAGGCGAAATAGCAACAGTTTGCTATGGGGTACAATTAAATCAAACTATGTTTATAGCATTTAATTTGAATTAATAGTTTGTTATTATATACAATTTTTCCTTTTTTATTTTATGTCAGTATGCACATTAGGGGTTGGGGCTGCAGGGGTAAGTATGGCAATCTAAATTCATGTCATGTATGACCCATTAAATAAGAAAGAACATTTCAATAAAAAAAAATTAGAGATGATATTTTTTATAACAAAATAGGACCCCTAATTAGCATTTTTATATTATTATGTTTGGTAAATATGGGTCTAATTTTGTGTGTATATGTATGAAATGTATCAAACGAGCATGTATATTACACACAATATACACAATTATCATATTTAAATTTTACAACAAATTTATTATTTCCTTAAATTTATTATCTATTTCGTATTTTATACATCATTCTCTCTTTTCCTTAATTTAATCTGTTTTCTATTATTTAATTCTCTCGTTTCCTTAATTACATAAAAAATCAATTTACTCAAATTAAATTTCTTTTCCAATATCTCATTCTTTCACGGCCCAAAACGGGTGTGATGACACTTGTCTTAATCCACCAAAACAAGTCAGTCTAAAACCCAACTAAAGAGATAAATGCGGAAGTAAAACATAATGTCTGACTAATTTAATTTCAAAATCGTGGATATCATAACATAACTCAAATGTAACAAAACCTAGTTGCCACATGTACAAGCCTCTAAGTAGTACATTAGATTCAAAGAAGTGTCTTTGTCTTTAGAATAGAACAAAACATAATAAAAGAGTATGAGGTCTGTGCCAAGATAACAAGTAGCTACCTCACAAACTCTCAAATTGTAGCCTTGGACGTAGAAGAGAAGAAGGAGTAATCACGATGATCCGGAGTCGTGACCTACACAAGTGTAGAAGCAAGAAAGTGATTACCAAACAACACGGTACTTAGCAAGCAAACAACTAACTCTAAAAAAGCAATATAGAACACAAGTACTCCAATCACACCAATTGAACCTCCTCAACTACAACTTGTAAGAAAAAATCATCCCAACCTAACAATTTTAACTCCATACCACAAAGAGCGTAAAGAACATCATAAATTGCAGCTCAACGTGAATAATCAAATCACCACAGTAATTCACAATTCAATAACAACAATAACATATCTACAATCGCCTCCGTTGAGAATCAATGAAGTGCAGTGCAATGATGGGAAATGTCATATAGAGTGATGCATGACTATCCTAACGATATACACACGTCGTCTCTTAGTCTGGAAACTATGGGGAACTCTTAAGTCAATACATTTGCCACGGGCGTGTGGCTTGATCCATATTTCAACTTAATGAATCCGCCAAGGATGTGTGGCCCATTCCTATTTCCACTCAATGAATCCGCCAGCAACGTGTGACCCGTTTGCTATTTCATTTTAATGAATCCACCACAGATATGTGTCATGTTCTCAATTTGCACTAAATGAATCCGCCACGGACATGCGACCCGTTCCCTAATTCCTCTCATCCTCACAAAGTGTCATCACAACAGTTGTACAACATCCAAGCAAATATATATGCAATGATCAAGTATGAGGATGGCAATTCAATACCAATATCCAACAATAGTAAATCAAGGCATATCATTAAGTGACTCATCATATTCATTTAATTAGTATTATCAAATCACACAATTCAACAAGGAAAATGAAGGCTTTAAAGGCGAACAAAGGTGGTAATCGGCAATTCGCCGAACGTGAAAGGCAAACTCGATCGAGTCCATCAACTGAGGTTCAAATACCTGAAGCAAGTGAAGGGCGAGCTGAGGAACATATGGCGATTCGCCGAATATGTTTGGCGAGCCCGACTAATGTCGCCAAGTTGATCACGCGTTGGATTTTGGGCCAAATTTTGAGAAATCATAAATAGCCCAAAGGAGAGAGAAAATAGAGGAGATTGTGGAGAAGAATTTCAGTTCCTAACTTTGTATGAGTTTTGGAGACTTAACTTTGAACTTTTAGAGAAATATTCTTAGTTTACAATCTTGTAATTGACAATTGAAGATTCAAATTGAAGTGGATCTTAAAGATTATTGCATAATTTCAATTCTCCAATTACTGAAATCATAACGGGTATACCTTCTTTTCCTTTTATGATGCTTGGCTAAAACCCCAAATCTAGGGGTGTGATTATGGGGTTGAGTGTTGATTTATTGTAGTGGACTTTGTATCTTGCTATGTTTTATTACTGTAGATTCATGGATTTAATCTAATTAGCATGAGGCAAATTCATAAGTTAAGGTTACAAACTTAATCTTAGCGCAGATCCTCGATTGATGCTCGAAAGAGATTTATTGAGATGGACAATTAGTTTAATGCATGGAATTCAGCAAACAGAATAGAATATTCCAAGTGGAAAGTTTCTTCTTCTTTTTTCATATTTTTGAAAGAAAATCAATCTTGTAATGAGCTTTTTTTCTAATTTACAGGTGTAAAAATATTTAATGAAGGCAGATATACAGTTTCTTTTTTTAACATGAGTAAATAGAGAAAAGAGATACCCAACTAACTGGGTTATACTTCTTAGTTTAGGATTCTTTGTATATAAAGTCTGGCTCTTGAATTCAAATTTTCCTTTTATGTTCAAAAGTTTAAATTACATGTCTACTGAAAATCAAAGTGGAGCAGTTTCAAAACCTCTATCTTTCTATCTTTAAGGCAAGGCCGGCCTGAAGTCGGAACGTATAACTTGTATCAACAAAAAGGCTCAACTGCAACAACTTTGAACCTGAATAATTAGATTAGGCGGTGATTACCAACTTGTGTATATCATTCAACAGTGATTTCAAATGTCTAACTGCTTATAGCCTTATACAATCACTCAAGCTTTTCAACTCAAAATATAAGTAACCTAACAAAAACTATACTCAAGATCAAAATGTTCAACTACTCCCAACTCTAAAATTTGAAACACTGGTTTGTTCCGCGGTAATAATTTCAAGCAAAGCTTAAAAGAAAGGAAAACCGTGAGTGCAAACTTTGAATATCCTCTACTTTGAACTTGAAAATGTCTAGCATCTTCTGATGTGCACGTGAGCTAGCTTCCAGCATCAAGGATAGTGAAGGTCTTCATCTCACACAAGACCCTCAGAATATATGCACGATGTCATACGCAAATCTTTTGTGTGTTAAGGAATTATAGGAATGTATTATAGGATACAACACCATGCAAGTGATGATATGATAAATGCACATAGAGACCACGCAAGATATGCAAGGAAAGTATTGGCACTGATGCTGCCAGTTCATATCTGCAAAACATCTTTAATAACTTGTTTTGGTTAAGTTATTTCAGAACTCTTCCCCAGAGAAACTTCGTCAAAATACCTGTTTTGGTTGAAAAGTGTTCTTAAAAAACATTGAGAACACAAAATCTTACAATATATGCATATATGTTTTTGTTCCGGACTTTTTTTCCTCAACAATGGCAGTTAGTATTTCTTAGGAGAGAGGACGGAAGGTAAAGGATAATATGTTGACAGCTACTCTAACCTGATGATATTTGCAGAGTCATTCCTATCTTGTTGCTATGATAGTAAAACTTGAAAACTTTGACAACATAGTTCAGATAGTTTTATTAAGGGAGGGGAAAAATGTGTAAGTCATTCATAAGAAGGATACGTCCAGAAGAGCACAAATGACTGCAAAGAAAAGAAACAATGTTAATTGAGTGTCAAACTAAGGGTATAAAGCTAGATTAACAATTTGAAATCATCATGCAAAGATGATAAATTTCTCTCAACAATCAAGCAGTGAAACTGTTATGTTGGATACTATATCGAAACTAAAAGGTAGTTCATACACTACCAAAACCTAGAAATCGACCCCTTTTCCACAGATTCCCAGGAAACCTAGTTCTTTATTAGTTACCAAAAAAAAAAACCTAGAAATCAACACCCATCACCCTAAAAATAATTAAGAAGATCCACAGGAATACTGATAAACATGATTATAATCAACAAAGTATCACTGAGATAGAAAATAAGTTCCAATAGTTAAGTAACTTAAAGAGAAATTTGAAGAAAGAAAAGTCAAGATGATATGGAAAGAATTCATAAACTGGAAAATGAATGAGAAAAAATTTCCAAAAGGGTATTAAAGAAACAGGTAGATAAAATGAAGCAGGATAGACGAACTAACTAGGCCTTCAAAAAAATATTACTCCATTTGTTTCAATTTGTTTGTCATGTTTTGACTTCGCACGGAGTTTAAGAAAGTAAAGACGGCTTTTGAATCTTGTGGTCTTAAATTAAAGATATGTCAAATGCACCAAAATGCCCTTTAATCTTGTGGTTTTAAACATGCCATGTGGAAAGTTGAAATTAAAGAGTTGTCAAAAAAAGAAAGAGCCATTCTTTTTTAAATGGACTAAAAACGAAAGTAGGACAAACAAATTGAAATGGGGAGTACGATTTTGAAAGAAAGTACTCCCTCCGTCCCATTTTCTCCGTCCCATTTTATGTGGCACTTTTCGGATTTCGAGATTCAAACAAGTCTATCTTTGACCATAAGTTTTTCATAAATCTTTTAAACATTTTGAATTATCAATTATTGTGACTTAGTACTTTTTACATAGTTTACAAATATTTTTTTTGAAAATGGTAACGATGTATTATATCACAAAAGTACATGGGTTGTACTCAAACCTTATATACAGATGCACTCTAGACACTCCTACTCTATTTCTATATTGAGTCTGAAACATCAACTATAGAGGCAGTGTCATTTGAGTATAATTGATTACACCAAAAACATAACAACAAAATGCAGTTTAGTTTAACATCCTGCACACTATTTTCTATGCCTTCAAAACATCT